TCTGAAAAATCATTTGATGATGAACTTGAATCTTGTCCGTTCAATGATGTTTGATCTTTACTTAATGATTTTTTCTTTAACATTTTTTTCAATGCATACTTTTCAGTTTCTTTTTTCTTAGCTTCATTCAATTCGATTCCTGTTCCATCATCATATGCTTGTCTTTTTGTTCTAACTTTTTTTTCCATCATCATTTCTTTTAATTTTTTTGTCATATCTTTTTCTATTTTCGTAAAATTTTTTTCTAATTCTTTGTCAATAAAAAAATCTTTTTTTTCTAAACCAGTTAATGTAGGATTATTTGTTTCTTTTTCAATTTCTTTATTAATCATTTTTTCTTTTTCATTTACTTTTACTTCATATTTATCTAATTCATCTAATATTTTATTAGCATATTCTAAATCAGTCATTTTTCTTTTTTCCATTTTGAAAGCATCACCGGATATTATATCTTTTTCAACTTCAGCTATTTCTTTCATATATTCTTGTTTATTACGATTCACCTCATTCAATTCTTGTCGAAATTGTTTTCTTTCTTGTTCTGAATAAAGATATGTTTTATCTTGACCAGCATATTTAGGATCAAATCTTTCTAATTCCATTACTGGAACTTTTTTTTCTAATTTATGATTTAAATAATCATACTTAGAATCTAAATCATATTTTTGTCTATAGAGATGTCTTAATCGTTCGATTTTTTGCATTATAATCGATTGTTTTTCTTTCATTTCTGAAATGGTTTCAATTTTTTTATTCTGTTTTTTTAATTTTGTGCTTTTTATCATGCTAGCAGCACCTGTTGATGGTGGTGGTGATGGTGTTTGTATATTTTCATTTTTTAATAAATCATTTGATAGATTTTTAGTCGTTTGATTTTTTTCTGGTTTCGATGATGTTGATTGTTTCATGTTATCTATCAAGCTGGATGATGTTTGTTGATTTTTGTTGACTTTTGACGCAACTGCAGTCTGATTTTTATTCGTTTGACTTTCTATTGGTTCTAATGACGATCGTTTTTGGTTTCTAACATTGGATCCAGTAATTGGTTTCATTTTTTTTCCTTTCTTTTTCTTCAAATTTTCTTTCATACTTTCATCCGTTTCTACTGGTTTAGATTTTAATTTTTTCTTTTTTGCTTCAGATGTATCACTTGTTTCATATATATTTTTCAAAGTACTTTCGATGTAAATTTCTTCTTTGTCTGTTTTGTATTTAGCTTTTACTGTTTTTACGTAATTGGATGTTTGGTCGTTGTCTTGTGGTATTATGTTATCGAATCCTCCTGAAGGAGTTCCTCCTAACATTCCAGTAAGCATTTTCATAATTTTGTCTCCTTGTTTATTTGTTGAATCTATTTCAGATTTTATCGGATCGGCCTTGATAATGGCTGATGTATCTTGGATTTTGTTTTTTTTGAAAGAATCATTTTGTGGAATTTTGGTCGCTTGATCTTTAGCTGCTTTTGAGATTTTTTCATTCATTGAATCATCGTTCAATTGTTTATTCGAATCTGTTTCTTGA